ATATCCTTTCTTCTGCTTGATCAATTCGGCTGTTAAAACTTGTGCATACTTCACGTAGTTCTCGTATTGTGTTTTTCAGTTCCATCGATTCACTGATTTTCCTCTCTAAATTTTGTATTCTTGTTGACATTTCGTCAAACCTTTTTTCAAAGTTCTTAGTTTCTTTAGATTGTGTTAGAACAAGTTCTTTTAATTCACAGAAGTTTCTTATTATCCACGTTTTGAAGCCTGCTTCTGTAATTGGAACACACTCGTTCTCCATCAAGCCTTGTTTCGTTGCTGATGAGGAACAGGGATCCCCTGCTGAGGAAGAGGCGTTTTGATCTTGGGTATTCTCAGCCTTTTTTGACTGTTTTCTTCCCTTCGTTGTAGATTTATCCATCTGTAGTCTTTATAATTACCGTCTTTGTAATTGGGTTTCTGAGTGGACGTCCAACTTATTGATTCTCAGCGCCGAAATCTGAGCAACCCACTGCGCCGACCAAATCAGCGGCGTTAAGATTGATGGTGCTTTTCTGACTCTGCGCCAAGAACCGACGCTCCGAGGCGCCGGCAAAACCGCCTCGCCGGTCACAAGAGTCGCGCTGGCGACCCGTGGGGCTCCTCCGCTGGGAATCTCCTGGTGCGTGAGCAACAAGAATTCATGTGAAGGTGTGGCGTCCTCTCGTTCTTGGCGTTTTCAGTGGGAGCTACAATCCCGAGCTGCTAGTGTTCAGCCATCTTGGATCTCTCTTGTTTTTTATTCCTTTTCAGACTTTATGCCTTTTATTTCTTCTTCTTGCTTTGGTGCCTCTTCTTGCTTTGGGTTGAGCCATTATACAGTATTGAATGGAAGTAGTGAGAACAGACATCTTCTAATTTTAAATGAAAGGCTTTCACTGTTACACTATTAAGTACGATTGCTGCAGGTTTTTATTAGATATGGTTTGTTAGGTTAAAGAAATTTATAGTATGTTAACAGTTGTTTTTAATCACATGATATTAAATTGTAATGATTTTCTACATCTATTAGAATAATATTTTTTCTCTTCTAGTTTATTAATTTAGAATATTATGTTAATTGATTTCTCAAACAAAGATAAGCAAACAAACTTTAATCTGTGGAATAAACCCAACATGGCTATAATGTATTTACTTTGTTTTATGGTTTTTGTTTGTTTGTTTGTTTTTGAGATGGAGTCTGGCTCTGTCACCCAGGCTGGAGTGTAGTGGTGCTATCTCAGCTCACTGCAACTTCCACCTCTAGGGTTCAAGTGATTCTCCTGCTTCAGCCTCCCCAGTAGCTGGGATTACAGGTGCATGCCACCATGACTGGCTAATTTTTGTATTTTTGCATTTTTTATTTTCATTTTCTATATATTTTTGGAAACAGATTCTCACTCTGTCGCCCAGGCTGGAGTGCAGTGGCTTGATCTTGACTCACTGCAACCTCCTAATTTTTTATATTTTAGTAGAGACAGGGTTTCACCATGTTGCCCCAGGCTGGTCTTGAACACCTGAGTTCATGCAATCCACCCGCCTCAGACTCCCAAAGTGTTAGGATTACAGGCATGAGCCACCACGCCTGGCTTCTTTTGTATTTTTTTAAATAGAGATGGGTTTCACCATGTTGGCCAGGCTGGTCTTGAACTCCTGACCTTAAGTGATCTGTCTGCCTCAGCCTCCCAAAGTGCCGGAATACAGGCATGAGCCATTGTACCGGGCCAGTATTTTCTTTTTCATATATTACCAGATATGATTTGCCAGTATATTGTTTAGTACTTTTCTCCATAATATATTTGTTAGTGAGATTAGTCTGTGTTTTTCTTTCTAGAATTACCATTCTTAAGGTTTGGTATCAAGGTTATGCTAATCTCATAATCTGAATTGGGAAGTCTTTCCTTTCTGTTCTCATGAAGAGTTTGTGCTATGGTTACTGTTATTTTTACCTCTCAAATGCTTGGTAGAATCGCTGTTGAAGTCATCTGTAGGACCAGTAGTTTTTGGTGGAAAGACTTTAGATTATTATTATTGTATTCTATTGTGTCATTTAAAAATTTTATACATGTATGTGCTTATCTATGATATGCCCTTCTGCTTTCTTTGGGTTTGTTTTGCTTTCTTTAACTCCTTGAGATGGATGTAAAGTTTTTAGCCTCATCTCTTCTAAAATGTATATTTAAGGCTAGAAATTTCCATCTACTATATTACCTATATTCCATACATTCTGATTTGTAATATTTTTATTAATTCAGTTCAAAATGCTTTCTTATTTTCATTACGATAGCTTCTTTGACTTTTTCATTATGATAGCTTCCATGTGTTTTTTAAAAAAATATTATATATTCTGTCATTGTAGGATATAGTTCTTTATTTATCATTTAATTACATCTATTTATTGTGTAGTTTAAATCTTCAGTATTCTTCCTAAGTTTTAAACTGCTTGTTCAATCAATTGCTGAAAAAAATGGTTAAAATCTTCCACTTCAATTCTGGATTCCTTGATTTTTCCCTTTAGTTCCATCAATTTTCCTTCATATATTTGGAAGCCATGTTATTAAAGGTATACAGTTTAAAGTTCTTTTATATTTCTTGTGGAATGAATCGTTCATTATTATATGATTGATCTTTTATGTCTGGAAAGTATTTGTGCCTAAAGTCCATTTTGTCTGTTATTAATATATTGATACTAGCCTTCTTTTGCTTAGTGTTTCCATAGTACATCTTTCTCAGTTCTCAAAAAATTTAATTGGTTAGCCAGACGTGGTGGCACATGCCTATATTTCCAGCTACCTGAGAGGCTAAGGCAGGAGGATCACCTGAGCCCAGAGGTTGAGGCTGCAGTGAGTCATGATCCCAACACTGCATTGAAGCCTGGGTGACAGAGTGAGACTTTGTCTCAAAAAAGCAAAGAAGGAAGAAAGGGAGGAAGGGAGGGAAGGAGGGAAGGAAGGAAGGAAGAAAGGAAATAAAAAAGAAAGAAAAAATTAATTGAAATATAATTCATATATAAATTCTCTCTTTTAGTGTACAACTCAGTGGTTTTTAATATATTCAAGAGTTGTACAATCATCATCACTAATTCTAGAACATTTTAATCACTCAAAAAACTGTACAGTTAGCAGTCATTCCCTATTTCCCCCTCTACAAAACACCTGGGTACCACTAAGCTACTTTTTGAATCTATAGATTTGCATATTCTGGACATTGCTTATAAATGAGATTACGTATGTGGTCTTTTGTGTCTGGCTTTTTTCACTTGGCATAATTTTGTTCAACGTTTATTTATACTGTGGCATGTATCTATACTTCATTTTTATTGCCAAATAATATTTCATTATATGGATATACCACCTCTTGTTTATACATTCATCAGCAAATGGCCATTTGTGTTGTTTCCACCTTTTAGCTATTACAAATACTGTTTCTATCAACATTCATGTACAGGATTTTGTGAGAACATATGTTTTCATTTCTCTTGGGTATATACCTAGAAGTGGACTTTTCTATTCTTGTACTGTCCCCTTTTCTCTATCTTTGTTTTTTAGGTATGGCTCTCATAAACAACACTCAGGATTTTGTCTTTTCTTTAATTGGATGATCCTTGTATATTAACTTGGAACACTTAGTCATCAGGGAAGTACAAATTATGACTATCCTGGGATATCGCTTTATGCAGTAGTTTGTTGGTGAGGCTGTATATCGATGGGGACCCTTACACAGTGGCAGTAAGAGTATAAACGGGCACGGTCAATTTGGAAAACAAATTGGCTCTGTCTTGTAAATTGAAACATGTACATACACTATGATCCAGCAATTCTCATTCTAGATATGTACCCAATAGAAATAATTCCACTTGAACACCAAGAAGACAAAACGATAATTTTAGAAACATTATTGCTTATAATAGCAAAGCTCTGGGACTCAAATATTCACATTCATTAGAATAGATAAACTGTGGCATATTATGTATTTTGGAGATCATGGCATATGAATATATGATACTTTTCCTTTTTTTTGAACTATGTAATTTCCCATTATATGGGTAGACTATAGTTTACTGATGAAATGTTAGGTTGTTTCAATATTTTGCTGTTATAAAAACACTGCAAATAACTTTGAAAATATTTGAAATATAAATTAAGTGTGGATGAGCATTTGTGAGTTTGCTAGATATTACCAAGTTTCTCTCCATGCAGAATATAACGATACTACCATTGATGAAAGAAAATGTCTGTTTCCCTATGTTGTTGCAAATTTCATTGCTTCCTTTTCCAACTACATTACTTTCTATTTACTTTACTTGCATTACAGTCTTTCTATAACGCTGAATATAAGTGATTGTGGATGTCTGTGTATTCCTGAATTTGAAAGGAAATAATTTAAATAATCGTAAATCAAATTATTTTATTATTGCTAATTTGGTAAAAAAAAATCATTATGATTATTTTAAGGCCATAGGACATTCCATGAAATATACCTACCATAATTTACATAACCATTCTCCTATTATTTTCCTCTCATTTCTGAAATTCAGATCAAAATCCTTAATACTGCCATCTGTCCATTTGCAATTTATTTTACACAAAAAGAAAGAATCCCAATATGCTAATCACTTAACTGAATTTCCACTTGTGCATATGGGATCCTGATTAGATTGATATCTCAAGATGCCAGTCTTTTAAAAATTTCCATTATATAACTATTTTCCTATAATTAGACATGAAGACTAGCTGCAGTTTTTCATTATTGTGAATTACCTAATAACAAAGGATCATATGTTAGATATGAGACCCCCAAAGGCAATTGTTCATCTTCTTTAAAGCTTAATTTTCTCATCTACATATTAGTTAATAAAAGTACCTATATTATAGTATTTTATGAGAATTTTTAAGTATGATATGGCATGTAAAGTATATAAAATAACTTTTGGAGCATGGAATGTGTTCTATAAATATTAACTATTATGATCTTTATGGTACTCAGTGAACAGTCTGAAACATTGCTTTGTTTCTCTGGAGGTCCTTTCTGAAATGGCATCTATGATTCAGCTATTCAAAACCTAATGAAGTTGGTGACTCTATGACAATGTGAAGGAATCATGACTGAAAATGTGGTTTGTACTGGGGCTGTCAATGCTGTAAAGGAAGTTTGGGAAGAAAGAATAAAGAAACACAATGAAGACCTGAAGCGAGAGAAGGAATTTCAATGCAAGTATGCTAAAACATATTTATTATTTTGAATTAGTGAAAATTCATATTATCATCACCATAAAAAAGAACATCTAAATGCCTTATTATTGAATTTGATATAGATTTTTATTTACTGAAAGCTCAAAATATGCTTAAAGGAAACAGCTGACTCAAATCTGTCTATGTGATAGGAGTCACAAAAAATACATGTGAAAATAGTAGCTACCTTATGTCCTCATACGACTGTGTTTAACATTCCTCAAAGTTTGATTAGTATTATATAGTCTAATTTTTAGGACTGTATGTTCAGGATTATATGCCCTAGGATCTAAAACAATATTTGGCCGTAGAAGGTACATTAGATTCTCAACTATTTGAATAGCTGTGTGTTCTAGCCAGGGCTGCTGGATCACTTGATTCTTTGATTTGGGCTATATTTATTTCACTCTCATTTCCTCTGCCTCCTTTTTATCTTACCTACTTTCCTGATTGGATGTCTCCAAAAAGTATTCAACTAATCCTGCAAAAACAGCCCCTTTCCTCAAATATTCATGTAGTTCCATACAATTCTCGTTCACTGTCTCTTTCTAAACATTAAATTAGCAAGTGTTATTTTCCAGTGTCAGCAAATAACAGAAAATTCAACTAAAGATGGCTTAAGTGTTAGGGAAGTAAGGCAGTTCCAAAGATAGTCAGTCCAAAGCCTCAACATCTTTTAAAAGTCAGCTTTTTTTTCACCTCCCACTGTTAATCTCTGGGTCAGTTTGACCCTCAGATTAGCTTCCTTCACTGTTATAAGATGACTGATGGATTTCCAGGCATCACAGCCAATCATCATTATGTTTTCAGAAGAGTGGAAATGATTTTTTTCTATTTCTTCTTTAAGAGTAAGAAAATCTTTCTCTGAGGGTCCCCCCAAAAACCTCTCCTTCACCTCTCATTGGCCAGAATGCGATCATTTGTACACATCTAACCCAGTTACCTTCTAGGGGAATGAGACTGTCTGATTGGTTTAGACAAATTAAGATTCATCCTGGTGTATTAATCCATTTTCATGCTGCTGATAAAGACATACCTGAGACTGGGTAATTTATAAAGGAAAGAGACTTAATTGACTCACAGTTCTATATGGCTGAGGAGGCCTCATAATCATGGTGGAAGACAAAGGAAGAGCAAAGGGACATCTTACATGCAGTCAGCAAAAAGAGAATGAGAACCAAATGAAAGGGGAAACCTCAGCTGGACACAGTAGCTCATGACTGTAATCCCAGCACTTTGGGAGGCTAAGGCAGGTGGATCACCTGAGGTCAGGAGTTTGAGACCAGCTTGACCAATATGGTGAAACCCCATCTCTACTAAATACAAAAAATTAGCTGAGAGTGTTGGTGCGAGCCTGTAATCCCAGCTACTTGGGAGGCTGAGGCAGGAGAATCACTTGAACCCAGGAGGCAGAGGTTGCAGTGAGCTGAGATTGCGTCATTGCACTCCATCCTGGGCAACAAGAGTGAAACTGCATCTCAAAAACAACAACAACAACAACAAAAAAAAAAAAAAAGGAAAGAAAGAAAGGGAAAACTCATAAAACCATCAGATCTTGAAAGACTTATTCACAACCATAGAACAGCATTGGACCCTCCCACGACACGAGGGAATTACGGGAGCCACAATTAAAGATGAGATTTGGGTGGGGACATAGCCAAACCACATCACTTGGATTACTTGGTAAACACTTGGACTTGGAAACAATTGGTATTCTTCCAGTAAACAAGGGTGAGGGGCAAGCAATGATAAGCAATGATTTGTGTCACTAAATATCTGTAAAAACAAAAGATCTGGACAGGGAAAAATCATTCTTCCCAAGAGAAGCTAATAAAGACGACACTGATGCTAACAATGATAGATAAGGGGCTCGAGCAGACATTTATTGTGCACTTACTGTTTACTAGGAACTCTGCTAACTACTGTATTTGTACTATCTCATTTAATTTCCTCAACATGCTGAAATATAGGATCATTATCAGGATGAGACTGCCCTGTGGGAGAAGGAAATCAAAAATAATAGTAGCTTAAACAAGATCTGTTAACTTTTCTGATAAGTGATCCACTGCTGGAATAGCACTCCACTGAGTCAGACATCCTGGTTTCTTCTATCTTGTTGCTCAATTGTGCACGTTTTTCATTCCTGAAATCCCCTCGTGATCCAAACTAGATACACCAATTGCAGCCATCATATTTGTTTCTGGTTAGGAGGAAGCTGCACTTCCAGGAAGCTGCTCACACTGCAGCTTCTGCTAACATCCCACTGGCCAAAACTTCACATAACCCATATCTAGCTATGAAAAGAGGATGGGTAAATGAGGTCTTATGCCCAGTTAAATTTAGAGAATTTATTATTGCCTTTTCTTTTTTTAGAGACAGGATCTTGGGTTGCTGCTATGCTGCCCAGGATGGACTTGAACTTCTGGGCTCAGCTATCCTCCCGCTTCAGCCTCCTAGGTAGCTGGGACTATAGGTGCACACCTGGCTCAGGGTCCATTATTGAGGAAGAGAAGAGTTACATCTCTGCCATATGCAGATGCTATTATTTTCTCCATTTTAAAGATGGAAAACCTGAGGAACAGTTCTAAGAAACTTGTCAAAGATCACACCACTAATACATGTGAAACTGGTATTGACACCTAAGCAGTCTGACTCAGTAAGCACTACATTCACCTCAGGTTTTACATTTCCCCAGATGGATCATTTCTACATAAAGCTACACTCAAGAAATGTGTTATGTTTATATTGTACAGTTATGAAAACTCTGACTCTAGACTACTCTTTTTTCTTTATTTTGTTAATGCCCCAACTTCTTTTGACCCATAGAGTACCTTTAATAAACCCTAACCATTTTTTTAACAGTAGTTAGGAATCATGACTTGGTTCTAAACTCCAGAATTTCACCTATTTCATGTATCTAGTGTTAAAGAAAAAAAATTATCTGAACACGTGCTAATGATGGTAAGGCAGACTTTATTCAAGGGGAGCCATGCAATGGGGTATAAGGACCACTGCAATGGGGTCTTACAGTCAGAGAGAGATTGGGCTCAGTTCTCACATGAACAAGGGCAAGTGGGCATTTACATATAACCCAGGAGCAGGGTGAGATTCAGTGGATGGAAAATTATTAAGGAGAAATATCAAGGATGAGGTTTCTGGCTAAAACGACCTGATAGAATTATTGCTGAAGGAGGATATCAAGGAAGGAGTATTTCCCCTTAAACTGACAGAGCATACTTTTTTCTCTTAAAAGTATTTTTAAACTTGTCCCCACCTAGTTCTTAGTAAGTGTGTAGACACAGCAAGATTTATGTTCAAAGTGGATTCTACAAGGATAGAGAGGGAAGCCCCAGGGTCAAGCCTGGTCAAACAGAGGACTCAGGAGCCTGACTAAAGTGTTGATAAAAGGGATCTTTGTCATTATTAAGAATCATTTAATTTCAGAAATTTCAGAAGTTAGTTCTCTATGTAAGAGTAACGAGTTTGCCCTTACTGCTTGTTCTTTTTTGGCATCATCTATTTTATGATTAGGGAGGAGGATTTTCTGTTAGCAAAATGTAATTTCCAAAAGTTAAGTTACACACACCCCTATGATTATAAAGATTAGGCCTAGAATTTGTAGAGTTTTCTGATAACCTTTGAGGAAAAAAAATTAGAGATTGTTTAAAAATGTAGGGGGGAAATTACAAACTCTCTTTTGACAACCCTAGACCACAATCAGCTTCTACTTTTAGGAACATTACATGGAGATTGTGTAATGTAGTTTCTCAAAACACCTTTCCCTTAGTCTTAAAACAATTTCATTATAAAATCATTGTACAGTATTATAAAGCTTGGTTTATGGTTAAAATTAAGTATAAACCACTTTAAAAGTACATTGTCTAGAGATCAAAGGTTAGGTTTAAAACCTGTAATGCGACTAAATAAATAATTTTCCAGGCATGGTGGCTCACGCCTGTAATCCCAGCACTTCGGGAGGCTGAGGTAGGAGAATCTCTTGATCCCAAGGAGTTTGAGACCAGACTGGGCAACACAGCGAGACCCCATCTCTAAAAGAAAGTTAAATTAGCTGGGCATGGTGGCATGTACCTGTAGTCCCCGTTACTTAGGAGGCAGAGGGATGAGGCAGGAGGATTGATTGAGCCCTGGAGGTCGAGACTGCAGTAAGTCATGATCACACCACTGCACCCAGCCTGGGTGACAGAGTAAGACACTGTCTCATAAAAAAAAAAAAAAAAAAAAAAAAAAAAAAAAAAAAAAGAAAGCAAAAGAAAAAAATTAATAAATAAACAGCAATAATTGATGTAAAATGGTAAGAATCTTAGAGAACTTTTAAAGTGAGACAGAGAAGCTGATTCCCAGCAAAAAGGCTAATTGGAAAATTCATAGACATTTTAAACTGACCAAAAGTAACCCAAAGAGATGTCCCTTCTTTTTTACTCTGCTCTTAAATAGAGCAGTGCTTCTCAAACTTGTCTGTATAGGAATCACGCAGAGATCTTATTAAAATAAGTTCTGGGTTAGTAAGTCTGGAGTAGGACCAAGAGTCTGGATTTCTAACAAGCTCCCAGGAGACAATGATGTTGCTGTTGTGCAAATCACAGTGAGTAGCAAGGAAGCAGACAGAAGCAGAAGATTTGAAAGTGGTTTGTACACAGGCAAGGGGTAAGAAGGGTAAAAATGTAATCTAATGCTGCTTCTCTCAGCTAAAAGTGGCTAAAGCTTTGGGTACAAATAAAAGGAAAAAAAGCCTACAGTTTAAATAGAAATTGTTCTTTCTCCCTTTTGATGCCAAGATCCTTGAAAAAAATCAAGTACTTAGGTAACAGTTGGTATGGCAATATAGGAAAAAGGCCTTATTCTACAATAAAAGGGTTTTTTAAAGTCTTATTTATTTAAGAGACAGAGTCTCACTCTGTCACCTAGACTGGAGTGCGGTGGCACAATCTCAGTTCACTGGAACCTCTGCCTCCTGAGTTCAAGTGCTTTTCCTGCCTCAGCCTCCTGAGTAGCTGGGATTACAGGCATACACCACCATGCCCAGCTAATTTTTGTATTTTTAGTGGAGATAGGGTTTTACCATGTGGGCCAGGCTGGTCTCAAACTCCTGACTTCAAGTGATCCACCTGCTTTGGGTTTACAAAGTGTTGGGATTACAGGCATGAGCCACCATGCCCGGCCTCAAAAGGGTTTCAGTGGACTTATAAAATTTCAGTTAGAGACATGAAAGAAAAGCAAGATTAAAATAAGCAGTTTCACATCTGTAATCTCAGTGCTCTGGGAGGCTGAGGTGGGAGGACTGCTTGAGCCTAGGAGTTCCAGACAAGACTGGGCAACATAGTGAGAGCCTGTCTCAATTTTTTTGTTTTTATTTTTTTAGAAAAAGCAGTATAGGAATTATAGAATATTTGAGCTGGAAAATACATAGATATCATTTAATTATAACCTGAAATTTTATAGGTAAGGCCCACAGAGGGGAGATGTCTTGCCAAAGGTAACCAAATTAATAAATGGTACATTCTGGACTTAGATCATAAAAATACAGAACCGGAAAGAATTTAGGAATCATTACAGAAAAAAAAAATAGATTTTTCTAATAATAGTCTGATTGTAAACTCAGCAAGGACAGACCTTTTTGTATCTCCAATGTCTAGTACTTGGCTTATAATGGTTACTTGATTAATTCCTTAAGTTAAAGGTCAAGGAATAAGATTTCTAATTGTACTTTTTACTAAATCTTGCTCTGAATTTCATTTCTCTCTTAGTAATAATTAATTAATAACCATTAAGTCCATTGTTTGAATAGTTCTATTGTTTTTTATTTTTATTTTTTTTTATTTTGAGACAGAGTCTTGCCTGTCACCTAGGCTGGAGTGCAGTGGTGTGATCTCGGCTCACTGCAACCTCCACCTCCCAGCTTTAAGTGATACTCCTACCTCGTCCTCCTGAGTAGCTGGGATTACATATGTATGCACGACACCCGGCTAATTTTTGTATTTTTAGTAGAGAAAGGGTTTCACCCTGTTGGACAGGCTGGTTTCAAACTCCTGACCTCATGATCCACCTGCCTTGGCCTCCCAAAGTGCTGGGATTACAGGCATGAGTCACTGCACCCAGCCAAGAGTTCTATTTTTATCATAAGTGATATAATTGAATAAATGACATTATATATTTTTTCTTAGTTATCCACATCTATGGGCAGCTTAGCTATTCAGATCAGAAGGCCACACATATCCCACTGCTACGGCGCACCTGTTGGCAGATAAGTTAAATTTTAGGCAAGTGATAGATTAAAATACACAGCTACTAAGAAGTGTTTTACGAACCCAAATGAAGACAGCAAATTCAACACTTTGTTACTTTTGGCTTTCTGTTCATTAAAATAAAATCCTTGCTGAAGATCAGTTAATGTGCAAAACTACTAAATATATGTATTAACTCTCAGATGTCAAGAGATTTCTGGCAAATAAATATTCAAATTAGTTAAACTTCATGCTTTAATGACTGCTTATATTTATTATGTATCCTTTTAACAGGCTAAAATTTCAAAATTTTCAATTCTAAACTTACTCTCCTTTTCAGGCATGAACAATTTTCTGGGATAGAAGTAGCTCTTTGCAATGTTTCCAGTTTCCTTTTTTTTTTTTTTTTTTTTTTTTTGAGACAGTCCCACTCTCTCACCCATGCTGGAGTGCAGTGATGCAGTCTCAGCTCACTGCGACCTCCACCTCTCTGGTTCAAGCAATTCTCCTGCCTTGGTCTCCCCAGTAGCTGGGACTACAGGCACGCGTCACCACATCTGGCTAATTTTTGTATTTTTAGTAGAGATGGGGTTTCACCATGTTGACCAGGGTGGTCTCAAACTCCTGATCTCAGATGACCCACCCACCTTAGCCTCCCAAAGTACTGGGATTACAGACATGAGCCACTGTGCCTGGTTTTCCAGTTTCTAGTTTGCATTTTTCTAGTTTGATATAATTCTTATGTTTGCAATAGATCAAAAATTAATAGAAATGTGTTTCAGAATGACAAAGATTTTATACATTTTTATTAAAAAAAGACTAGATAAAATTAACATGAAATTGAATTCTGAAGTTGAACTGTATTCTTTGTAAGCCATTACAAAATCTATTAAGTATCTATAGATTACTCAGCAGGAAAATGCAAATCAAACTCACAATCAGTTACCATTCACACCCCCTAGATGGCTATAATTAAAAAGAGGGACAATAGCAAATATTGATGAAGATGTGAAGAAAGCAGAACCTTGATAAGCCACTGGTGGGAATGTAAAATGATGCAGCCATTTCGGAAACAGTTTAGCAGTTCCTGAAAATGTTAAACATAGCCAGGCATAGTGGTTCATGCCTGTAATGCCAGCACTTTGGGAGGCCAAGGCAGGTGGATCGCTTGAGTTTAGGAGTTCAAGACCAGCCTAGGCAATATGGTAAAACCCCATCTCCACAAACAATACGAAAATTAGCAGGGCATGGTAGAGCATACCTGTAGTCCCAGCTACTCAGGAAGCTTAAGTGGGAGGATTGCTTGTGCCTGGGAGACTGAGGCTGTAGTAAGCCATGATGGTGCCACTGCACTCCTGCCTGGATGACAGAGCAAGACTTTGTCTCAAAAAAAAAAAAAAAAAAAAAAAAAGAAACACAAAGTGATCATATGACTCAGCAATTCTACTCCTAGGAATATACCCAAGAAAAATGAAAAAACATGGTCACACAAAAATTTGTATGTCATTATTCATAGAAGCATTATTCTAAATAGGCAAAAGTGAAATTAGCCCAATGTCCATAAGTTGATGAATGGATAAACAAAATGTGGTAGATCCACAGAGTGGAATCATTCTGCCATAAAAAGGAATGAAGTATTAATAGATGCTACATCATGGATGAACTTTGAAAAAAACTGTGCTAGGTGAAAGAAGCAGACATAAAGGATACGTATCATATGATCACATTTAAATAAAGTGTCTGAGATAGGAAAATCAATAGACAAAAAGTAGATCAGTGATTACCAAGAGGTATGAGGGGGAAGAATGGAGAGTGACTGCTAACAGGCATGGAGTTTCTCTTTGAGTGATATAATGTTTTGGTATTAGATAGTGATGATGGTTGCACTACTCTGTGAATATACCAAAATTTATTGTATTATGTACTTTTAAAAAATAATTTTATAGTATATGACTCAGATCTCAAAAAAGCTATTATTAATAAAATTTATAGAGTTATGATACTGTTTAAAAAATTTAAAAATAGGGCATTTATGATACTAATCATATTTATAATTATTGCAAAACAAGTTCTTGTCTGATTCCAAGTACCAATAGTCAAAAGGTTGTTTTTGATGGGTCATTAAATATATATATATATATATATATATATGTGTGTGTGTGTGTGTGTGTGTGTGTGTGTGTGTGTGTGGCCAGGTGCAGTGGCTCACACCTGTAATACCAGCACTTTGGGAGGTCAAGGCAGTGGATCATAAGGTCAGGAGTTTGAGACCAGCCTGTCCAACATGGTGAAACCTCGTCTCTATTAAAAATACAAAAAATAAGCAGAGTGTGGTGGCAGGCGACTGTAATCCAGCAACTTGGGAGGCTGAGGCAGGAGAATCTCTTGAAACCAGAAGGTGAAGGTGGCAGTGGGCCAAGATCTCACCACCGCACTCCAGCCTGGGCAAAAGAGAGAAACTCTGCTGAGTTTCATATATAGAGAATTATAAATATGATATTATAAATATAATATATATGAAAGTGTGTGTGTGTGTGTGTGTGTGTGTGTGTGTGTGTGTGTGCCACTTATGTCATTACCTATGAACTAAGATGATTTCCTGGTCTCCTAGGCTAGTGCGAATCTGGGAAGAACGAGTAAGCTTAACTAAGCTAAGAGAAAAGGTCACCAGGGAAGATGGAAGAGTCATTTTGAAGATAGAAAAAGAGGAATGGAAGGTAAGTTTTTTAACAGAATATTTGATTTTCCACATTTTGCATTTTGTGGGTCAGTTCAGAGAATGATTCTGAGACTGTGTAATTAAGACCAGAATATTTAGAAGCTAATTTTAATAATACACCAAATGAATTTGAGCAACATGAGCAACTGAAAAGAAACACTTCACAATTATTTTGCAAAAGTTCAGTTTGCTTCAACCCTGCCTAAACTTAAATCATTTGTGATATTTCTCCTATTAATCCTTCTTATAAGCAACTTATTTTCCGTAAAAAGATGAACATCTGCCTAATAAAAATATTGTTTTTCAGAAAAAAATGCTCAGTTAAAACTTCACGGAATGAAAACATTATTTTCATTGGGTCTACCACCTGACTCATACTCTTTCTCCCCCTTACACACAAACTCACAGTTGGTTAATTACATTAGGCATACTCTAATTTTTACAAGCGCCTCTAACCCTTGGGTCAGTGTTTGTTTTCATGTTTTATGTCAGTGTTTGTCAGGGTTAGCTCCTCCTCTATTTTCTATTCTGGCTATTTTAGGCTGAAATGGAAAAGACACAGAGTTCAGAATAGTTGAAACTCTTAAAATTCTCAAATAAAAAAAATCGTCGTTTAAAATATTCTTATATTTCAAAACAGAAGTGGAAAAGCAATTTGAATTACTGATTGAAATGACTTTTGGACAGTCTCATTTTCAATAACACATATGTACTTTAGGAAAGCCTAATACTGTATAACAGAATCATCAGGACATACTCCTATGTGTGTACCTTATTGATAAAAATATTTTTGTTTATTCTATTATGATTGGGGTTTGAAGGCTTAGCAAAAAAAAAAAAAAAAAAAAAAAAAGTAAAGATCTTACAAATTGGAAATTACACAAAGCACTTGGAGGTAACCCAATAAGGAAAACAAATTTCAAATATCCCAAAGTGCTTTTCTAAGTCAAATATCACATTTCAGGGTGGCATGATACTAAAATAATTTAAGTAATATATAACGACCATCATTTCTTTTACTGTAGACCCTTCCTTCTTCTCTGCTGAAACTGAATCAACTACAGGAATGGCAACTTCATAGAACTGGTTTGCTGAAAATTCCTGAATTCATTGGAAGATTCCAGAACCTCATTGTGTTAGACTTATCTCGAAACACAATTTCAGAGATACCTCCAGGGATTGGTAGGAAAGATTGCTTTTATTCCTGTGCTATTTTATCCACCTACAGATGTGCTTTTTATTAAGATTTTTTGTTTTTGTTTTTGGATACATGGAATAAAGACCTCTTACTCCCATGATTCAATTATCTCCCACTGGGTCCCTCCCACAACATGTGGGAATTATGGGAGCTACAATTCAAGATGAGATTTGGGTGGGGACACAGCCAAAGAAAAAGTTAACAATGTGTTGTTAACAGTCCTGAACCTTGAGCAATTTTAAACATTTAATCTAAATTGAAGCTTCTAGAGGATTCAAGTTTCTGGATTTACTCAGGTGATTCAAGATGAGATTTCAATGAAAGAAAACCTGCTTTGGAAATATCCTGTAGATTCTCAAAACAATATTGTTGGCTCAACTATTCCTCTTAGGAAAGAACAGAAATATTTCTCAAATGGGGAGAAAAAAATCCTAAGAGAAAATTGATCAGGATTTTGTGTAGATAAAACAAAAATAGTTTTGGATTTTTTTTTTTCCCCATTGCACAGATAAGCTTGTTCCTTGTTTGAAGAAAGGACAGGACACAGACTAGGAAAGGGAAGATACTAAGAACTGTGAATTTGCCAATACAAAACTGGCAAGTAAGTTATGCTGTAATACCTTAGTAACTATAAACATTATTTTATATCCAACTCCTCTCTATTGTATATTATTTTTTATAGGACTGCTTACCAGACTTCAGGAACTGATTCTTAGCTACAACAAAATCAAGACTGTCCCCAAAGAACTAAGTAATTGTGCCAGCTTGGAGAAACTAGAACTGGCTGTTAACAGAGATATATGTGATCTTCCACAAGAGGTTAGAAAGATACAAATGCCTATGATTATATTTTCCATCTGCAGTAGTTGACCTCTCAATGTGTGGTTGTTAACAATAACAAAACTAATGAGAAAATTCTATGTATTTCAGAAAAAATATTTAGGGAAAACCATTTCTGTAAGTATAATGCAGGTTTTTAATTGGAGAAAGATTTAGTGTAAAAGATAATTTCATTATTATCACAGTACTGACATCATTTGTTAAACTGTGATCTCCTTGAAGGCCAGGGTGAGAGTTGTATTATAGTCTCAGAATTTAGGGCAGGGCCTAGGTTGTGATTACTTAATGATTTTTGAATTAAGAGTTATCATAAAGCACAGACAATGTGGTGATAGCAATGGGACTGGAATGCCTTCAAACTTTGATTTGGTATGATATCTTGTAATTGGTCGAACCAAATTGATCATATAAAAATAAGGACATTTGTATTACTTTTTGAAAATATTTAATGCTCTTAGAATCGGTTAAGAAGTTTCCATGGTGCTTTGGCTTTGACAACAATGACTTTGCAAGATAAAAGTTAAGAAAAATAATAAAATAAAATAGAAAGATTATTCCCTTCTCCCACTTTATCTTGAATAGTATGTCAGACTTTTTTTTCCAAACCAGCAAACTTGTTACCAACAATTGCAGCTCTTGAAAATACAATATAGTATATATGTATATATTATATCTTCTAGTAGTTCAGTTCAATGAAATGTATACCATTGTGTATTAGTCTGTTCTCACACTGCTGATAAAGACATACTCGGACCTTACAATCAAGGCAAAATGCATGTCTTACATGGTGGAAAGGGAGAATGAGAACCAAGTGAAAAGGGAAACCCCTTATAAAACCATCAGATCTCATGAGACTTATTCACTACCATGAGAACAGTATGGGGGGAACCACCCCATGATTCATTTATCTCCTATCAGGTCCTTCCTACAACACATGGGAATTATGGGAGCTATAATTCAAGATGAGATTTGGGCTGGGGCACAGCTGAACCACATCACCTTGCATACAATAAAAATGATAATCATATGGATCATTTTTTACACATACAATAGGACCAATAAATATTTTCTTTCTAATTCATATGTTTTTGTTCCTAGGGTTGGCTCCATCATTATAAAAACTATGTGATTTTGTACAGCTCTATTAACCAGTCTTTTTTTTTGAGACAGGGTCTCACCCTTTTGCCCAGGTTGGAGTACATTCTGGCTCAATGCAGCCTCAACCTCCTGGGCCCAAGCAATTCTCCCACTTCAGCCTCCTAAGTAGCTGGGACCACAGGCTTGTGCCACCATGTCTGGCTAATTTTTAAATGATTTTATAGAGATGGGGTCTCACTATGTTGCAGAGGCTGGTCTTAAACTCCTGGACTGAAGTGATCCTCCTGACTTGTCCTACCAAAATGCTAGCATTATAAGCATGAGCTACCCCTTTCCTCCACCACTATTATTTGGAAGTTAAATTTTGAGTTTTCCCATAAAATTCTCAGCTACTGGATCAAAGAAAAACATGATAATAGGTGCTTACTCTCAGGGGGAACAAAAAAAAAAGCTTTTGCCAGGCACATTCTATAAACCCTGGAACCTGGTTATTATGGAAGATAAATTTTCTTCAAATAGATGAATTTTCTATGAGTTTTCCACTTCTCTAGGGGTTATTTAGCTTTATTTTTGTTTTTAATTTGTTGTGGACTACTATAACTAAATAAAGTCCAAGTAAAATGTGAACATTCCTGGACGTGAAATATCTCCTGTACCAATGTGAGTCTTTTAGTAGTTTACATTTTGGACATTTATTTTGAAAAACCTTGCTTTCTTCTTCAGCTCAGCAATCTGCTAAAACTTACTCACCTTGATCTGAGTATGAATCATTTTACTACAATCCCTCTTGCTGTGTTGAACATGCCTGCCCTTGAGTGGCTGGACATGGGAAGCAACAAACTTGAACAACTTCCTGATACTATAGACAGGTAAAATAAATAACTCTTTATGCTAATGATAAATGTCTTGAAACCTCTTAAGAAAAATAGCAAGACAAAGGGGATCTCAAGCATATTCTATCACAATAGGTCCAATTAGTTTGAAATACACTGTTTTAACAGAATATGTTCATTTGTTCCAAGTAAGTAAAAAGGGTTGGGAAGAGGAAAAAACTGGCTTTTTTCAAGTGATCCACCTGCCTCAGCCTCCCAAAGTGCTGGGATTACAAGCATGAGCCACCACGCCTGGCCAAAATTGGCTATCTGACTTTGAGAAATTAACAAGATTTTGACACAATAACCACATTGCTTATTACATGCCAAGCACTTCTATGCATTTTACAAGTGGATGAAGAAACTAATGACAGAGATGTTAGCTAACTTGCTCAAGTTAGTAAGTGGGCAAGCTAGGATTCAAACCCAGGCAGCCAGACCCCAGAGTCCATAATGTTAAGTATTATGCATTCTGCTTTGCTATAAATGGGCATATTAATCATTTGATTGTTCTTTTAAGACTCTAACTCAGATTAGGTAACATTTACAGCAGCTCTTCTTCAAGAAATCCTAGGAGAATATTGAAACAATTCTGGAATATGTTGATTTCATTTCTACTGCCATATGAAATGAGAGTTGTACTGTAGAGATTAACTTCCTGATGTAGTTTCTCTAATAACCAGGTAACGTGATGTCAGTTAACTCAGTAAATATACTGGCTAAAGATGTTCTAAAAGACTATTTGATTTTTAATATATGAACCAAAGGCTGGGTACAGTAACTAATGCCTGTAATCCTGGCATTTTAGGAGCCTGAGGCAGGAGAATAGCCTGAGCTCAGGTGTTAGAGACTAGCCTGGGCAATATGATGAGACCCCTGCCTCTTAAAATTATTTTTTTAAAACGCCAAAACCAATATTGTCATATTATATGTAATTAATTGCAGAAACCTTACTTTTTCAGAATGCAAAATCTACATACATTATGGCTGCAACGAAATGATATAACATGCTTGCCTGAAACAATCAGCAATATGAAAAATCTGGGTACTCTTGTTCTCAGCAACAATAAACTGCAAGATATTCCAGTATGCATGGAAGAAATGGCAACTCTGAGGTAAAAACTTGTAGGCACAAAACTGACATGTTTCTTTCTGGCTGCAGAAAAAAGTAATGTAGAGATCATTATTAATAAATTTCAGTAGTTATTTATATGAATGGATATTTAAAAATCTTTTCCAATGTTGAAATTCTATAATTTGTGAATAGGATTCATATAACACTAGTCTAAACTATTCAAGAAAGAATCCTTAAGACTAAAGCAGTTTGGGATTTATCAGGTTTAAGAAATGTCTTCTGTTGGTGACATTTTCATGAAAATTATACAGCTAAAAAAACTTCATTCACCACAAAAAAATCAAAAGAGTAAAAGTGATTATTTTATCCCTAAATAAGTACAAATGGACACCACTATGTTACTGATAGAAAGCAAATATATTAGGAGTGGTGGTGCACACCAGTAACAGCTACTAGTGAGGCTGAGCCTGGAGGATTGTTTGAGCCCAGGAATTCAAGGTTGAAGTGAACCGAGATTGCACCACTGCACTCCAGCCTGGGAAACAGAGAACTATCTCTTTAAAACACACACACACACACACACACACACACACACACAAACACACACACACACACACACACACATAGAACTAGATATAACTTTTTACTAAGTACTATCAAACCCTCTCAATTATTTTTTCTTTTAAAAATTATTTTAGATTGCATGTGTAGGTTTGTTACATGGACATATGCTGTGTAATGGTGAGGTGTGGACTTGTAGTATATCCATCACCTAAATAGTGAACATCATACCCAGTAGGTAATTTTTCAACCCTCATCTCCCTCTCTCTCCCCGCTTCTGGAGTTGCTAGTGTCCATTACATCCATCTTTATGCCCATGTGTACCCACTGTTTATCTCCCACTTATAAGTGAGAATATGCGGTATTCGATTTTCTGAGTTATTTCCCTTAGGAAAATGGCTTCCAACTTCATCTATGTTGCTACAAAAGAGATGATTTCATTCCTTTTTATGGCTGCATAGTATTCTCTGGTGTATGTATACTACATTTTCTTTATCTAATCATCCGATGAGGGACACTTGAGTTGATTACATAACTGCTGTTGTGAATAGAGCTGTGATAAACATATGAGTACAGGTGTCTTTTTAACATAAAGTTTTCTTTTCCTTTGGGTACATACCTGGCAGTAGGTTTGCTAGGTCAAATGATACATCTATTTTTAGTTCTTTGAGAAATTGCCTTACTGTTTTCCATTGAAATTGTACTAATTTACATTCCCACCAACATCTGTGTTGTTCCCTTTTCTCTGTATCCACACCAACATCTGTTGTTTTTTTAAATTTCTTAATAGTAACCATTCTGAAAGGTGTGAGATGGCATCTCATTGTGGGTTTAATCTGCATTTCTCTGATGATTAGCGATGTTGAACATTTTTTCATGGTTGTTGGCTGCCTGTACGTCTTCTTTTGAGAAACATCTGTTCACGTCCTTTGCCCGCTTGTGGGGTTGGCTTCTTTCTTGTTGAGTTCTTTGTAGATTCTGGATATTAGTCCTCTGTTAGATGCCAGATTTACAAATAATTTCTCCCATTCTGTAGGTTGTCTATTAACTCTGTTGATTAATTTTTGTGCTGTGCATTTTTTCTAATTAAATCTCATTTGTCTATTTTTGGTTTTGGTGCATTTGCCTTTGAGGTCTTCATCATAAATTCTTTGCCTAGGCCAATGTCCAGAAGTTTTTCCTAGGGCTTTTTCTAGGATTTTTTACTGTTTCAGATGTGACATTTAAATTTTAATCCATTTTGAGAGCTCCAAGTATTTTTCTTCCAAAGCTTAATCTTCTGACATTGAAGAGAAGACCCACTAAAACCCAAAACTTCCATAACAAAATAATTCATTTATTCAACAATTACCTGCCTTGAAGTAGGCGGTGAAGACACAATGATAAATAAGATGGAGGTATATAAATATGCAGAAACTAAGTCCATAGCACTAATTTTATATTTAAGATGTTAAAATTACTCTTAGAAGTTAAGCTGTACTGCATTACATATACGCTGTAGGCCGGGTGCAGAGGCACATGCCTGTAATCCCAGCACTTTAGGAGGTGGAGGCAGGTAATCACTTGAGGCCAGGAGTCCGAGACCAGCCTGGCCAATATGGCGAAACTCCATCTCTACTAAAAATACAAAAATTTGCCGGACGCCATGGTGTGTGCCTCTAGTCTTAGCTACTTGGGAGACTGAGGCACAAGAATCACTGGAACCCGGGAGATGGAGGGTGCCGTGAATCCAGATCATGCCACTACACTCCAACCTGTGCGACTAGAGTAATAGTTGTTTTTGTAAGCTTTGAAAATAAGTTGTCTAAAGCTGGTATTTTTTTTTCTCTTAGGAAAAAACCATAAAGATTCCTGAGATATATCACATCTCACCAAGGTGTTCAGTTATTGAAACCAGTTAAAAAAGAGTAATTTAGTATATTATCATTTGACCTTTCTCCAGGGAAACAGATGTATACTTCCATGACACCTATAAAAATACTGTTTTTTGATGAACTGCTAGGTTTGTCAACTTCAGAGACAACCCACTGAAATTGGAAGTATCACTTCCTCCCAATGAAGGCATAGATGAAGAAGAGGAACGGGAATTATTTGGTCTTCAGTTTATGCACACATACATACAGGAGTCAAGGAGAAGAGCAGGTATAAGATTTGTATATAACACAGATCAAATGTTCTTTTTTGGTAGAGTAATGTGTATATCACTAATTTTTGCCTCTTGATTAATTTCTTTATATATTTCTCATTCCATCTTAAGTTTTCTGTCAAATTCTGTTATCTTAGTCAACATGGGAAGAAAAAAAACGAAATGAAGAGAGAGGTTGTAAAGATACGCAGTCTTTCAAGTGGGGGAAGGAAATAAATCCTTTAGCTAAGCACCTGAAGTAAAACCAAGTGAGTAAAGATGTGATTTGAAAAACTTTGCTACCTCATTCTACCAGCTTGTCACACATAGCAGTTTGACTATGAACTGACCTTCCCTGTCATTCCATAAGTAGCAAAAAAAAAAAAAAAAAAAAAAAAAAAAAAAAAAAAGTTTTTTGTTGTAGTTGTTAGTTGTTCTGTTTTTTAAGAGATGAAGTCCTACTATGTAGAGGCTGGAGTGCAGTGGCTATTAAAAGACACAATTGGCCAGGCGCGTTGGCTCATGCCTGTAATCCTAGCACTTTGGGAGGAGGAGGTGGGTGGATCACCTGAGGTCAGGAGTTCAAGACCAGCCTGGACATCATGGTGAAACCCCATCTTTAAAATAAAAAAATTAAAAAAAAAAAAAAAAAGGACACAATCAGAACTCACTGTAGCCTTGAACTCCTGGACTCAAGAGGTCATCCTATCTCAGCCTCCAGAGTAACTGGGGCTATCAGTGCATGCCACCACGTCTGGCTGAGAACAGATTTCAATCAACAGTTAAAGTGTGAGGTTTTGATAGAGATATTTTAATCGCTTCATCTCTGATAATTTTGAATTACACTACTTTTATTTTTTAATTAAGGAGAGCTTTAAGCTAAACCAAGATCAGGAGAAGAGGACAAAGTACACAATTAGTTGTTAATATAAAAAACGAAACAATAGTCATAGAAATCATGGTCTTAGAATTTAAAAATGTTAAGTTTTTAATTTAAAAGGTAGATTTTAGTTCCACTTAATGCAACAACTAGTTTGAAAAATGAATATAACTGAGAAGACAATGACAGAGTTTTTCAGCTAGAGGAAATAATTTTTACTAACATTCAGTGGAGGATGTTTAGGAAATGGTGATTAGATCTCTTGTAGTAATGTCATGGAAGCAGTAACATGGAGACAGACTAGGGAAGACAGGCAAAAAAGTCCTAATTGTGACCTAGTTTTGGAAAGCAGAGAATACAGAAAAGATGATTAGGAGACAGAATTGGTAATTGAATTAAGATGAGAAAAGGAAGGAGTTTCTAATAAATGCTTTTAGTTCAGAGAGCATCTGGATAGATGGTGATGCTAAGATGGATAAGTAAGTACAGAAGATAGGTCGGCGAGTAGAATCAGGTGGTGGCAGAAGATGATTTCTAATTTTAGCAGTAATTTTTTTTCCTTTTTTTTTTTTTTGGAAAAGGAATTTCTCTCTTGTTGCCCAGGCTGGAGTGCAATGGTGCAATCTTGGCTCACTTAGCAACCTCTGCCTCCTGGGTTCAAGCGATTCTCCTGCCTCAGTCTCCTGAGTAGCTAGGATTACAGGCATGCACCACCATGCCCAGCTCATTTTGTACTTTTAGTAGAGATGGGGTTTCACCATATTGGTCAGGCTGGTCTTGGAACTCCTGACCTCAGGTGATCCACCTGCCTCAGCCTTCCAACGTGCTGGGATTATAGGCATGAGCCACCGTGCCATGCCCTTATCAGTAAATTTGATGCACTTGTGGAACATGCAAGATGTGGTAATTGCATAGGTAAATCTAAAGTTCAAGAAGGAGTTTGTTGAATCTGAATCTTCTGCAGGTCAAGAAATAGCTGTATGCATATCCCACACGGTCACTTTCTCATGATATGTGAAGACAAATGAACAGTTAGGAAAACAATAATCCTGACCTAAGGCTGGCATGTTGGATGACAAACTTAACTTCCCTTAAGGTACTTGATACCATTGTCAGAAACGTAGCATTAAGCTAAATGGGCCACAGAACTGTTTCTGTATGATAATTGTCAGATGTGTATGTATATATTATGAAACATAAATGAGATTATGCCTGTTGCAGAATATCTTTTATTTCTGGGCATAATTTGTTGAATGATGCAAAACAAATTTTATGACACAAATTAGTATTGCTTGGCACAAAAAAAGGTTATCTGATGATATAATATCTTCATTTAGGTTCCCTTGATTGGGGACATGAGTGATTAACTTAAATAATCAAACTACTTTACTTTAATAGTATTTGACATAAAACTTATAACAAGGAAAAAGAAGGTAACAAAGAGATAATAAAATCAAAGCCTGCCTATTATGTTATTAAAAATAGATTCACAAATTATTACCGTTACTATTACTAGTTAATATTTATTGAGTTACTCTGTGCTTAGAACTGTTCTATGCATTTTACTTATGTTATCTCATTTGATGCTCACACAACAACCTTGTGAGGTAGGTATTATTGTTATCAACATCATCCCCATTTTAAGAGGAGGAAATTGAGGCACAAAGAGATTAAGTAGCATGCCCAAGGTCACACAACTGAAAGATGGTAGGGTTGGAATTTGAACCTAGGCAGTCTGACAAGACATATGAGACTAGACTAGTCAGGAATTTTAAATTGGCTAGGCTTCTTATAACAAATCATGTGATCATAGAACTACAGGATAAAAATAGTTATCTCAGAATATCATAATATCTAAAATTAGTAATTCTGAACCTTTGTCTTGGCAAATGTACCAACAATTAAGATAATTTTTACAAATAAAAGCAGAAGCAAAATAGGGATAAGATGCAGAAGTGAATAACAGTCCTACCATATGTTTGGTTTAATATTTGTTTGTGCATAGAAACCAGTCATGAGTTAAATAAGGCCTAAATTTAAGAAGGTTTTTGGTTTCATTACCTAATTTCTACTTCATTCCAAATCATTTTCCCAAACAGAAGAGAACATACTTATTGTTTGTGCCTATATATGTAAAAAATGACCTGATAAAAGATAATGAGATAGCTAATCAACTTCAGAAGTTATTTCAAATTTCAAATTTAATTTGTGAATTATGTTTGTAAGTATCTTTCTGGAAGTTCTAACTAGATAATTATCCAATGAAATAATCTTTATTCTTTAAAAACAGCTCTTCAGTTTTGTTTTTGTCACAGACAGATTCTGACAATATATACATGTATGGCTCTGGAAATCGGAAGGTGACTTCATTAACTAATCGTGAACATCTCTGAGTTTGTTTGCATTTGAGAAAATCACAATTGTGCTTTCCAGATCTGTAGGGGGAAATGTCCACATATAAGTCAAACTCTCAGATTCACCCTTGTCACAAACAATCGATCACTACCTCTTGAACTTGAGAAATAAAAAATAGTAAATAAAATCAAAGGAAAATAAATTTCCAAAATTAATGCAAATAGAAAGTTAATATGCTAATTATGTGTTGACATGTTATGTATGTTTCAGATCACCAAGTCATCTGTTCAACTACTTTACCAATCTCCATAAATACGGATGAGTAATATAATTCAAGATGCCCTTCTAAAGAGGATTACTTTGGTGAATTCTCTAATGTTTGGACTTCTGAAGTAAAAAGAAAAGCTATTACCAAAGTTTAATGAGGCCACAGCATTTTTTAAAGTTCATATTATCTGCTATTTAAAGTATATATTTTGAATATAAAAATATAATTAAAAAAATTTTTTTGGTGGAAGACAGATGATGCACAAATTTCTTTTCCATTAGGCAGTTGTTTCTGGTGATGAAGAATGATTTGGTAAAGCGGTTAACAAAACATTTTCCAAAGACACCAGAGGGTCTGTATAATATTGCAAAGCAGGACTGAATCCCTTCTGCTGCAAATACTGGATTCGACCTTGGTCAATCAGCAATTTACAAAGATGCCCTATTTTCTTCTTTTCTTCAATACTAAGAAGCCTAAATTGAATAAACACACACAAAACATTGTTACAATTTTGCAAAAGTTTATAAAAAATTATTTTTGCCACTTCTATTTATTGAGAGACTGTTAACTAACCCATTTATTTATGATCACAATGAGACATATATATTTTAGCTTATTCTAAAATTAGATGATAAAATACATTTTCATGAATTGTTGATAATAGTCATCCAAAAATAAAGTACAGTAATAATACAATTATTTCTCTTTTAGTGTCCTGCATTACAAAAGTAGTCTCTTACCCAGGCAAATTATCAGCACCGTCATCTGTGATTCTGTATCCTCCATCATCATGCTCTTCACTATCATCATTCTGATTATCTTGTCTCTTTGTGGTAATATCTGAGGCTTCCGAAGATGTTTTCCGCATCCCACAAGTTGCCCAACTACTCATTCGCTGGAAATAGTGGAATTCCACTGCTCCAAGGCCTAGAGCCCTGAAATATTCTTTGCCCACATAATGTCTCCAATCACACCTGTGGTGACAACAGAGTGCAATAACAATGCCAGCCACAGGGTTCCACTTCTCTGGGACATTTTTTTCATTTCCTTCCTTGGCCAAAGTGTAAATTTCTTTTTCTGTTTTATCATTCTTTATGCGTTTGGCTAAAGGTTCTTCATTCCTTTCCTCAAAATTGGCAGCACAGGTTTCAACCAAACATCGTAATGCAAGATCTGCAAACACAATTATGTGGCCCCCCCAACCACATCATCTTTAAAAATAAATATTTTTTACATTTATTAAGCAGTACTGTTTTTAAAAACCCAACAATAAAAACAGCAAAAACCTTTATATTTTAATAATTCTATTGTGAATTATCAACTTGGTTCAAATTTGATCTTTTCTTACTATCTTCTCAATTTTTTTTAATGATTTATTTTGCATAAAGCCTACTTCCCAATAAAACTATCTGAAGTTTAACATCTACAATTTGAAGGACTTTTACCCAATTACTGAATTGTCTCTCACTTCTCCTACGTTAGCTGAGAAAATTACTTGTATAGAAAAACTATTCACCTACATTTACATTTTAGTGGGAAGGAAGGAAGGAAGGAGGGAAGGAGGGAAGGAGGGAAGGAGGGACGGAGGGACGGAGGGAGGGAGGGAGGGACGGAGGGAGGGAGGGAGGGAAGGAAGGAAGGAAGGAGGGAAGGAGGGAAGGAGGGACGGAGGGAAGGAGGGACGGAGGGACAGAGGGAGGGACGGAGGGAGGGAGGGAGGGAGGGAGAGACGGAGGGAGGGAGGGAGGGACGGAGGGAGGGAAGGAGGGAAGGAAGGAAGGAGGGAAGGAGGGAGGGAAGGAAGGAAGGAGGGAAGGAGGGAGGGAAGGAAGGAAGGGAGGGAGGGAGGGAGGGAAAGCCAGTGTTGGGTTTCCAGGCATAAGCCACTGTGCCTGACCTGAATATTAACATTTAAAGGACAGAAGTGGAAGGAGACTGTGAAATAAACAGAAGGAATGACATAGATATAGGGGATGAACCAGTAAATAAAAGTATCGCAAAAGAGAAAACAGAATCTCAAGAAGGGTAAAACACAATTTCAGAATTTTAACTGCAGCAGAGATGAAAGGAAGATTCAGATACAGTGAATCAGGGGAAAAAATTATGTGGAACATGAGAAATGGCCACTGTAGATCAAAAGAGTGTATTCCCTCCTACCCCCAGGATGGAACTAGTTTACTTTAGACTTTTTTATGAGGCTTAAATGAGACAAAGCATGTGAAAGTACAGTCATGCATCGTTTAACCATTGGTATATGTTTTGAGAAATGCATTAGGTGATTTCTTCACTGTGGGAACATCAGAGAGTACTACACAAACCTAGATGGTGTAGTGTAGCCTACTATACAACTAGGATATATGGCATAGCCTATTGCTCCTAGGCTACAAACCTGTACAGCATGTTACTGAATACTGTAGGTAACTGTAACACAAAGGTGAGTATTTGTGTATCTAAATACAGAAAGACACAGTAAAAATATGACATAATTTTGCAGGACCACTGTCATGCATTCCATTGTTGACCAAATCATTGTTATGTGGTACATGACTATAGTCTTAAAAACTACAAAGGCCAACACAAATATATAGTACTCAATGCCATTTCCAGCCAATATGAATAATATCTATGGATGCTCAAGTGACCCATATGAGTAGATGATGAAACTAGCAAAAGTTAGGAGATGATGTAACAATAATTAACATTTATTGATCACCGTTATGTGCCAGACATTTTACATGCAACCCAGTAAATTATTAATATATTAATATCTGTTTTATAGATGAGGAAACCAAAGCTCAGAAAGGTTAAGTAATTTGACAACGTTATACAACAGAGCCGAAAGCTAGACTATCTGATTCCAAAGCACATGCTGTTTCCACTTTACCATGCTAAATCTGATGGATCAAAGTGTTAAACGACATCTTACATATTTTTTTTTTTTTGTCTAACGTTTACCTTTTTCTTTTCCCTCAGAATCCTGAAACACAATAGTCTTCTAGTGGGAGAAGTTTCTGAGTTCTTTCTAAGCAACTACTCTAAAATAATCAGTAGCTTCTGGATAGAATCATACAGTTTCCATAAATGGTTTGAGTTTCTTTTTCTGCTTGAGATATAGCCCAAGGACAGAACTTTAAGGTCTAATGTGATGCAGTATTTACATACAAAACTCTTAATTCATCCTGCAAAATGGCCAAAACGAGCAGATAAATAGGAATGCTATGCATCTAATAAAATACAGGGCCAGTGCTCTATAAAGATTAGTGAATTGTAAACATAAGATATCTATTCAAAACATATCTTATGCAAACATAAGATATCAACCACTGATATGGTTGGGGCAGGTTAGGCCAAAACTTAATGCATCAATGTAAATATTATTAGTATGTTTACATACCTGTCGCCACACCACACAGATGCTTTCCAATTCCTACCACAGGTAGTTTTCCTTCTCTTAGCACAGGAATCTTGTCTGAAATGGAAATGAGAATTAGGTTGCATATTAGTGTGGCTTTCCAAAAGAAGTAACTAATTAGAGTCTCTGAATTTTAGCCTGAAAGAGACTCAAACAAAAAATTCTCACTTTATAGAACGCAACATATAATATAAAAACTTGTTTAGGGTTCATAACATCAGGAAGTTAATATATTCAGTTAAATAATTTTAAATACAGTGATTTATATACAAATGCTAGGTTGCTTTTCATGGTTGGATTAAAATTAGTGAATGGAAGACATTGCAAAGACGTTTCCATTATTTTCTTCGGATAATCTGAAAAATAGAAAAGGTATAAAAAAGGCACTACAGAGATTGAGGAGTGTTCGTGTGTGTGTGTGTGTGTGTGTGTGTGTGTGTCCATGTGTGTGTTTTGTGTAAGGAATGTCAATCCCACAGTGATGACTTCTTTTCTTTTGTACAATTTAAAATTCTAGGAAGTATCTTTTACCTATTAGCTAGGCAGAGAACTATCTCATTTTCTTCAATGGTTTAGGTAAGTCATGTTAACTGCAAGCAGAAGGCTAATTTGTAGTTTGAACAGATTCAATATTAATTTAAACAGGACAAAGAAACAACATAAGTACATATTATAAAAACTTTTAAACTCTTTCCTAATACTTCATTTCCATCTGATACTGAAAATTTAAAAAATTTTCAACCTTAATTCAATTTATATCTATTTAAACATTATATAAAACATTCTGTATTAACAATGGATTGATTTTACTGTTTTCCCTGAAGCACTGTTCTGCATGATTGGATTTCTAAGCAACCCTCAGAGTTTGAAACAACTATGACTTATTTGTAGAGCAATGGAAAGTTACACAACTTACTCAAACACAAGTGTTGAATATCAATTTGAAGTCTTTCAAACACTGAGTTTTTCTTTCTGTGTTTTCCATCCACCTGCACAAATGGAACATTATTGTAATAATGACTTCTTACATTTAAAAAAGTTTTATGAAAATAAAAAGATTTCTATTTGTTTTCAAAATCCAGAGCAACAGAATATATTTAAAAATTTAGATTGTATATTCTTTGATAAGAACTTCAAAATATCACTTTTTAAAAAAGATTTGAAATGTTTATCAATTATATATACATTATTTCCTTTAACTCTAAAAATTCCCAATTCACTGACAAAAGAACTGAAGTTCACAGCTCTTAAGTGATATTATCTAAGATTGCGTGCTAGCTCCTTTATCTTTGTCACTTCTAGTATACTATTTTTGCTCCTCTTCTTACTCTCCTGAAAGATTACAACCATTCTAATCTATACCTGTGTACCCATGACCTACTGATCTACTTTTGTGGCTCAGGCTTCCCCAAAGAGCATGAGACACACACTCAAATGTGAACTAGAAAGCTCTACTTCAGCATTATTTCTGTCTCCAAAACCATCCTTCCTCTTACTCCTCCTTTATTCCTTATCTCAGGAAAGAGCACCACTTAGTCACATAAGCCATAAAAATGCTACCCAAGATGACTCCTTCTCTCTCATATTCAATTACTAATAAATCACCAACTCTTCTGGTTTCCAACCTCTTAACATTTCTCATACTCTTGCCCTTCTCTCCATCCTAATGCAATAGCTTTAGCGCTGGTCTTTTTCTTATTTGGATTGTTGGACAAAAATTATCCTTATTATTAACCTCTCTATTTAAGTATCAAACTTCTAAAATAGTTTTAATGGTACTGCTAGGAGAAACTTTGAAAAATTCCTTTCTACTTTACTAACTCTTACATATTATTTC